TCAGATATCATGGAGAGTGGCTTGGCAACTACATCAGCCAGTTCCCTCAGGACTCTGGGATGCATCTCGTCAGGTCCCATGGACTTCTGTATGTTTATGTTCCTCAGGAGGTCCCAGACCTGGTCTTCACTTACAGCTGGAGGGATTTTACCCTCCTGGTCTCCTTCATGCCATCCATCCATTCAACATATCCTGGTACGTGTATCAGGTGTGGGTATATCCTGGTGTGTTTCCTATGCTTCTTAATAAACTGAGGTTGTTGGAAGAACTTGTCAGTTCAGTTCCAGTTCTGTATAAATGCTTGGAGCTATTTTGCACAGAAACAATGCTATGTACAGTCATGCCTCTCTAAATTTCAGGAGACTTTGGTAAAGACACACAGATGTCAGGGCTGTTACATGCACCTTCACAATCACAAACTCTACTAGTCTAGCATGTGATGTTTTGGACTGTTTTGATCTTCGCAGCCAGTCAGTGTTAGACATCTCTTTGCTATCCAGTTATCCTGTTACATTAGATAATGGAGAGCTGGCTGATTTCATGCATGAAGCTACCTCCTCCTCCATATCCTTTTTCTGTTACATCTTAGCAGCCTTTCCCCTTCAAAACACACAAAGCTTGCTTTGAAAATAACAGGGAACTCTCCATTCCGCTCCTGCACTTTATTTCCACCAAATCTCTGTTTCTGTATAGATAATTTATCCCAGTTTCTTCAACATTCACTTCTTCTGGGCTTTTTGGTCCTGGCTGAAAACTGATTCTAATAACCTTCTGTGGTACTGACATGCTGTTTGGTCCAGAATTGTGACTCCAGCTTTCTCCTTTATGCTGAATTTTCTACAGTATGTATTGAGACAAAATTTTAGTTGTCTTGGCAAAACAGAATAACTTTAAACAACTAGATTTCCAAGTCTCATTGGAACTTGCTGTGTTGGGTGGGCAAAGTAATCACTGAAATGGAATATGGACGACTAGTAATAGTAACAATTTAGATAACTAAAGAAATTATCTCAGAATTCTCTTGTGAAAGGATGAAACTTACTTTGATTTGTTCCACTTCCCTTACTTTGCTTAAAAGGACAAATGCCCTGTGAATTTGTATTTTTAAATGTTTGGTGGTGTCTTTGCTGGTTTCAGGCACAGTTTTCATGTAATTCAAAAGAAATCATCAGAACAATGCTGTAACAGAATTTTATGTAATAGTTTTAGAGTGTTCACTTGTTTTACAGAACAGCTATACAATAGTCTTTAACTTGTAAATCATAGAATCACAGAATCATTTAGGTTGGAAAAGACCTTTCAGATCATCAAGTCCAACCATAAACCGAATAATCCCAAGTGCACCACTAAACCATGTCCCTGTGTGCCAGATTTGCACGTCTTTTAAATGTTTAAAAGTTTAATTTTGAGCTATTAAAAGTAGACTTTCTGTACTTATAATGAAAACGCATTTCATTTCTAGCTTCTCGTAAAAGACATAAAAAGGATAGAGATGAAGCTTGGGAGTATGAAGAACATGACAGAAGAAGTTCTGGTGACCATAGGAGAAGTAGTCATTATCATGAAGGAAGGAGGACTTCTGGTAGTGGCCGTTACCGTAATCGCAGTCCTGATGACTCTGATATGGATGATTATTCTCCTCCCCCTAACCTTAGTGAGGGTAACTGATCATTTTAAAAATTTAACTTTATTCCATAATACTAGTGCATTTTTAATGGGTATGTTAAACATTTTAAAATAAACATCTTTATGTGCAGTATTGAATACAAGTGTAAGAAATGTAGATAATCCTTTAGTTCATTTTTAAGAAAGTATTTATTTCAATCTTTATCCTCTTAGTGGCTAGAAAAATGAAGAAAAAAGAAAAACAAAAGAGAAGGAAAGCTTATGAACCTAAACTAACACCTGAAGGTAATTTTAGAAGATTTATTTCCTAGAGTTTGTATTTTCTGTTTTGTATATATAATAATTATTTATCAATTTCTTTTTGCCACCAGAAATGATGGATTCATCGACTTTCAAAAGGTTTACTGCTTCAATAGAGAACATTTTGGAAAATTTGGAAGACATGGATTTTACAGCTTTTGGTAATATGACAGAAATTTTCAAAATGCTTTCCCCAATTAGAAATGCAAGAAAACAAAAAATTTATATCTATTTTTGAAGTTCCTCTTCGGTATTTAAGTGCCTATGATACATGCTAGGGCATACGGCATTTAAATGGCTTCCACCCTGAGTGGTAGCCTTTATCTTTCCAATATCACTTGCTGCTGCAGGAAGATGATCTTCCTTCCTCCTCCCTGCAGAATCCAGAAAGGGCATAAATCATAATGAGACAAATAGTAGTCCTCTGGAGTGGAAAGGATACCTCTTCGGAGTGTCATTAGGGTGTTATCTTCTGTCAAACATACCTTTGTAAACAACACTGACATGAGATGGTTCTCTTTGTAGTAATGTCTGAGGCACATAATTTTGCATCTATTGTAACCATTGACCCAGCAGAACTTGATTATTCAATTAAAGCAGCAGAGTCCTTATGCATTTATGGCTGAGGCTCTGAGTCGCTGTATGCTCCTTATCCATTTCAGCCACCTTAGCAGGAGTGTCTGAGGAAGTAGTTCAGGTTGACCAAGGTGACTCTCTATTGAAATAGATAATAGAGTGCTTGTAAATTTTTTTCCTACAAACTTTATCACAGGATTAGAACAAGGGGAGGAGCATCGTAAACAAATCACTACAGTTTTTCAAGCAACAGCGTATACAACCTTGGACTTAAATTGGTTCTTTCTGTGTCTGGTAACATCATGGGTTTTTTGTAAGGGTAAATACAATTAAGACACAATGTATCCAAAAGTACTTAATTTCATATCTGTTTTTCGTCTATTGCCCTTCCACAGATTTGAACTTTAGAATTAGGACTACAGTCATTTAAGATTTTTTTTTACTGAAAGGACGGTGATGGCACAAGAGCGCCAATAAATGGGGTTTGCTATATTAAAAATTTTTAGTTTATGACTTTCAGAAGTGGGTGCTTCATATTAGGCTGTTAAATGATGTTTCAGAACTAGTCAGATTTAACAAGTAGTTGTTGTTTTAACACAACCAGAAGTTGTCATCATCAGTCTTGAATAGATGGAACTATTAGATGCTAACTGTTTGGAATTCTTAGATGTTAGCTATTTGGAAAATCCGTTCTTTTTCTTCAGTTGGCTTTTTCATGTTGGCTGTGAAATACTGATTTCTTTGAAATCTAATTAGAAATATGATTGTTAATTTTTAAATTTTTTTTTTTAAAGGCGATGATGATGAGATTCCACAGGAATTGCTACTGGGAAAACATCAGCTTAGTGAGTTGGGTAGCGAATCTGCAAAAATCAAGGCAATGGGCATTATGGACAAGGTACATCTTCACAGTCTTAACTGTTTTTGAACAAATAATTTTGACAAAGATGCAAAAACTTATGTCCCCTGTAATAACATTCCATCCTCTTCAGGTGTGCATGTGACAGATACTGTGGACTATAGAAGTTGTGCTTCTGCTGACTTAGCTGAACTGCTTACAAAGCTACCACATCTTAACTGTTACTGTCTCTGAAGCTGAGACATTTTTGTTGAATAGTCATCTGTGTCAATGCTGAGTATGTGCCTATATGTAATACCCGTGCCTGAGCAGTAAAATCTAAAATAATTTATCTACTTTCACAAAAGCACATCAGCCTGTAGGCTTTGCTCCTTACAGTTAGTGCTGAGCAATCACAGTAGATCAGAACCTGCTGCAAAGTAAAAAAACTCTACCCTTTCTGATATATGCCATCAGTGCAATGTAAATTTATGACATCCAGCCAGCATCACACTGAATTGCCGGCTTCCTCTGTCTCTCCAAAAAGGCCTCTCAAACTTAGAAGTTTTAACACCCAAATGATAATAAGATTCGTTTTATGTAGACTGCATATTGTGGCTTCTTTGCCATTTTCTTCCCAACTTCAGTTGAAGGGAACTTTTTAATGGTGCAAACCATTGGTATCACACACCTAGAAAATGTTGTTGCTTTCATTATCTTCCTGGAACTCTTGGCTTTGGGCAGTCTAATGTTAAACTCTTACTCTGGCTGCTCATGACCTCTTAATATGTTTATCAAGTGTCTGTGAAGCCACTTACTATAAAAGTCACTCAGAAGGGTTTTCTTTAATCCAAAATTTAGATGTTCTCCCTTGACTTCTCTTCCATCTCCCTGCCATCCAGTGCAGCATGTTGTCATCCTGTTTCTCTTTCCTGATAGTTCTCACCCTTACCTTTGCTCCCTATTTTTCACACATACATACGTACATATATACATAAAATCAGAATTTTGTTGCTTCTAAAGGTGAGTGCCAGTAGTATCTAGATGAGTGAAACCAACTCTCCTTGAGTTTCATGTATTCTACAACTTATTTAATCATAATTCTATAGAAGATCAGCAAATGAGTTCGAGTTATTTTTTTCAACATGCACGTTCTTCAAAGTTAACGCTAATGTTAAGAACACATTTACATTTTATTAGCACTTAAGTATCGGGGAATTTTATTTCTGCTTGTCCATGTAATTTGGATTCTTTCTCCTAGTAAAGGTCTATATGGTCAGTTAGAATTTGTGATTGATACTTGGATTTGGTAAATTTCTGTTTCTAGAAGCAGAAGTGTATAACTGTATAACATTAATGACAGATCTTTAAATGTGTTTCTATGGATTTTGCTCATTGAAAATGCAGTTTGATTGTAATTTAGGATACATTTCACTTAGTTGTATTATCAGCATTCTCAATCTTGCTGTGTCAGAAACCACAGAAGTAAAGATTCGATCCTTATCTGGAACTGCTTATAATTTAAGTGTTTCAGATTATAAAACAAGCCCTATCCTTCATCCATGGACATACTTTTCAGCAGTTTGAAAGCATTTATGTTCCTGCAGTTTTTTGATATGTTTCTTGTCTTGTTTTAGCTCTCAACAGATAAAACAGTAAAAGTCCTGAATATTTTGGAGAAGAATATTCAAGATGGATCAAAGCTTTCTACGTTGCTTAACCATGTGAGTTTCAAATTACATAATTTCACAACGTTGTGGAGAATAGAGTTTTCTTCACTTGAGTCTTATTTAGTGATAGTTTCAAATACGGTGTGTGTGTGAAGGGAATTTCTGGTATAATATCCATGTGATTGAGATTGCCAGATTTTAAGATTTGAAGTAAAATTCAATTGATTATATTTTTTCAGTACTAAGTATGTTTTACTGTAGTGATAACTAACAGGTATATTGGAAGCAACTAAGTTGTCTTCTGTTTCAATTTGAAATATTACTGTTTCATCCTGAAATATTCATGGTAACTGGTATAATTTGCACCATTGGACATTTCTTTGCCACTTTGCTACATGTCCGTAGAACATCCCTTGCACAGTGAAAGAGGTACTACAGCTTTCATGTACAGTGTGTTCTTCTCCTGAGCATTAAGAAAGGAGGAAGCAGTTTGTTTAGGTCTGTTCTTTGTGCTGCAAAGTTAAAGTTGGCAAAGTAAACAAATTTAGAAGAACTTCAGGAATTTAGGGGTTTTTTTTCCTGATACACGTAAATCTATGTGGGTATTTGGAGGTGTTACAAGATTGATACGTGTTATTTCACATTTCATATATTTCCTGATTTCTACACTTTCTAGTCAAAACAGTGTTCTAGCAGGAATAGAGTTCTTGAGTTCTATGAAAAAAAAATCCTTGATCTGCAGAAATAGAGAGTAATTATTTATATTGGAAAGGAAGAATTTGAACTGGTAAATGAAAACCAGTTTGTACCTAAATACTTTCTTCTAGATAGTTTGTAGGGTTTTCAGAGTTTCTGTATACAGTTCTGAATGTCTTTAGCAATATGAAAAATTTGTGAAAAGAAGGTGCTGGTTTACCTCCTCTGCTTCACTGTGATTAACTATTTATGCTAATACTTTTAAAGTGATATTTTTCTTTTAGCTTTTCATAGTAAAACTCAGGATTAATAAGAAGTCAATGGAATTCTCCAATGATTGCAGTTCAGAGACAAAGCTTTTATTGAAAAAAGAAGCAATCTTTAGCCAAACAAGTTTCAGATTTTTCTTAAAACCTATTAAACATGATTTGAATCATTATGGCAAAGAAAGCCTCTAATGAAGAGTAAGCTTACTACTTTTACAGTGCAGTGAAGATATCCTACCTCTCTTCTACCTGCCTTTTTCAGAGTCAGAGTGCACTTGCACATTCTTTTTATTTCCGAGATTAATGAGGAAAAAAAGAATTAAAACTACTTGGGACTTTTCTGAGCCTCATTTGTGTAAGGAACAAATGACTTAAAGACGTTCTATGCAAGAAATTCACAGGGATCTCCTGATTTGCAAATTTCTGCTGATCTTAGAAATATATGTATCTATATATAATGCACTGTGATATTGTTTTAGATTGTCTTACCCTAAAGGGGAAAAGTTGATATGGTGTCACCAACCCCTTATTTTTACAAGGAAAGCCAACAGTGTTGAACTGTGGTGTCATACAGGCAGGAAAGATCCTTTTTCTCTGTAGGCTATATCCATATCAGAGAAGCTATGAAAAATTGTGCCCTATTTTGCTATAAATAATGTGATTACAAGATTTAAATAGTGCTGGGTGGTCATAATTAAACTCATGTAAGTTTGTTTTTGTAACTAGTACAAACACAGAAATACAGTGATTCTGTACCCTGTGCTAAATCTAAATGAACGTATTTGATAAAATATGTTTTAAACCCATTGATAATAGATGGGTTGGTCTATGAAGCAGAGAAAGTCCTGTACTTACAACTTTCATGTGACTTGTAACAGTCTGTGTAAGAATTCCCTCTAGTGGCAAAAATCAGGCTGATGAAAGCAGCAACTGGTGTGCATAGGCCACTGAAGAAAACACTAGGTGAATGCATTGAGATTTTGCATAAGGTACACCAGTCTTAAGTAGAATATGTGGCCATCTTCCCTCAGTGCTTCGCAATGATAAACAGAAAGCTTCTTTCATAGAATTGTAGAATCATTAAGGTTGGAAAAGACTTCTAAGATCATGAACTCCAATCATCAACCCAACACCACCATGCCTACTAAATCATGTCCTGAAGTGCCATATCTACACGTTTTTTAACACCTCCATGGTTACTCCACCACCTGCTTGGGCAGCCTGTTCCAAGGCCTGACCAACCTTTCAATAAAGAAATTTTTCCTAATATCCAATCTAAACCTCCTCTGGCGCACCTTGAGGCCATTTCCTCTCGTCCTATCACTTGTTACCTGGGAGAAGAGATGAACACCCGCCTCACTACAGCCTCCCTTCAATTAGTTATAGAGAGTGATAAGGTCTCCCCTCAGCCTCCTCTTCTCCAGACTTAACAATCCCAGTTCCCTCAGCTGCTCCTCATAAAACTTGTTCTCTAGACCCTTCACCAGAGTGCCGAGTACAGGGGCATGATCACCTCCCTACTCCTGCTGGCCACACTATTGCTGATACAAGCCAGGATGCTGTTGGCCTTCTTGGCCACCTGGGCACACTGCTGGCTCCTGTTCAGCCAGCTGTCAGCCAACATCCCAAGGTCCTTTTCCGCCAGGCAGCTTTCCAGCCACTCCTCCCCAAGCCTGTAGTGTTGCATGGGGTTGGTGTGACCCAAATGCAGGACCCGGCACTTGGCCTTGTTGAACCTCATATAGTTGGCCTCAGCCCTTCCATCCAGCCTGTCCAGATCCCTCTGCAGAGCCTTCCTACACTCGAGCAGATTGACACTCCCACCAAGCTTGGTGTCATCTGCAAACTCCTGGGGGACACCACTCGTGACCAGCCGCCAGCTGGATTTAACTCCATTCACCACTACTCTCTGCCCTCAACCGTTCAGCCAGTTCTTTATTCAGTGAAGCGTACACCCATCCAAACCATGAGCAGCCAGTATCTCCAGGAGGATGCTGTGGGGAACAGTGTCAAAGGCCTTACTAAAGTGTGGGTAGACAACATCCACAGCCTTTCCCTCATCCTCTAGGCGCGTCACCTGGTCATTGAAGGAAATCAGGTTGGTCAAGCAGGACCTGCCTTTCATGAACCCATGCTGGGTGGGCCTGATCCCCTGGTTGTCCTTCACATGCCCGATGAGTGCACTCAGGATGAATCGCTCCATACTCTTGCCCAGCACCAAGGTCAGGCTGACAAGCATGTAGGTCCCAGGATCCTCCTTCTGGCCCTTCTTGTAGATGGGTGTTACACTGGCGATCCTCCAGTCCTCTGGGACCTCCCCTGTTAGGTAGGACTGCTGATAGATGATGGAGAGTGGCTTGGCCAGCTCCTCTGCCAGCTCCCTCAGCACTCTTGGGTGTATCCCGTCCAGCCCTATGCTTTGTGTTCTAGCAGAAGAATACAGTGAGATTTTGAAAACTTGTAATTTAGGCAGACATCTTAAAAACATGTTGCTAGTAAAACAAATATTAGTTGATTTCTAAAACAAACTATTTTTGTATCAAAAAGGAAATACAACATTTTATACATGCATGTATGTAAGTATATTAAGTTAATGTTATTATCTTTTACTTGGTAAGGATAAAAATTTTACTTCTTATTCACATTATCCTGTTTTTCTTGCCTGTTACAGAACAATGACACTGAAGATGAGGAGAGATGATGGAGAGATCTTATTATGGAGAGAGTGACAAAATCTGCTGATGCTTGTCTTACTGCTATCAATATTATGACATCTCCAAATATGCCTAAAGCTGTATATATTGAGGACGTAATAGAAAGAGTTATTCAATACACAAAATTTCATTTGCAGAACACTCTCTATCCTCAGTATGATCCTGTATATAGAGTGGATCCTCATGGTGGTTAGTATGCTAAGAAACTTTAAAAAATCTTTCCACACTAAAAACTGTCAAAACATAATCTTCTTATGATGATGCAAGTGATATCACTTTCTGGAAGAAGATTTTTATATGCAACTCTTATACTGATAGTTCTTCCATATCACATCCAGCATGCTGAATAAATGCTTTGTGTTAATTTGAGGATGATGAAATGCAAAGTAAAAAAAATTAAACATAAAATGCATCCTCTGAATAACTTAGTCATACAACATCTTGGTTTATTACAGTAATGTACATGTAACCAAAGTATTTAGACTGAAGCATTTAGAAGTTTATCTGAAGTTCAGCTTTCTGTGTATAGCTACAATATGTAGGAAGAAGTCATATATGTAGGACTAAGTTACTACATGTAGCAGTAAGTCATGTAGGAATAAGTCATAATCTCTGTGTCTGTAATGATTTATTTCAGTGAAAACTGTTTAGCATTTAGTATTTCCTTGTCACATGCATACCTTTACCTGTGGGTATCCAACTTCAAGAACATTTTGAAAAATCTTACATCCAAAATTTAGATTAATTATGAAAAACTAATATCATGTGAAATTCTTGCTTTCCAGTTGATACTACTAAATAGTTTTTCTTCTCTAAGCAATTGCTTTAAGAAAGCTGTAATCGTGCAGTTGTTCTGGAGACACTTTTTTAGGAAGATCAATTTTCTAATATTTGATGTGAAACATTGAAAAAATTAATGAAGGTATTTTTTATTTTCTAGGTGGTGTTCTAAGTTCAAAAGCAAAGCGTGCAAAGTGTTCCACCCACAAGCAGAGAGTTATAGTGATGTTGTATAACAAAGTTTGTGACATTGTCAGCAGCTTGTCAGAGTTGCTAGAGATACAGCTTCTTACTGATACAACTATTCTTCAGGTAAGTTTTATCAGAAGAATTTCTGATCAGAGAAACATCAGGGAATGTTTGTTTTTCTTTTCACAGAGAGAATGTAAAGCATGATTGTCTCAGTGACATAAAGTATGAAATCAGTGCAAACTTTTGAAATACTAACATCAGAGTGACTAGTTTCTTGTGTAGTGGTAGTCTGCAGGAGAAGAGCGTTTAATGTTCAAATCTTTAATGGCTTTTGTTGTACACTTAAGAAAAGTTTAAACTGGTTGTACTCAAATACAGAGTCATAGAATCATTTAGGTTGGAAAAGACCTTTAAAATCATGGAGTCCAAACATAAACCTAACCCTGCCAATTCTGCCAGTAAACCATGTCCCTAAGCACCATGTCTACACATCTTTTAAATACCTCCAGGGATGGTGATTCCACCACTTCCCTAGGCAGCCTGTTCCGGTGCTTGACAGCCTTTTCAGTGAAGAAATTTTTCCTAATATCCAGACTAAACCTCCCCTGACACAACTTGAGGCCATTTCCTCTCATCCTATCACTAGTTACCTGGGAGAAGAGACCAGCACCCACCTCACTACAGCCTCCTTTCAGGCAGTTGTAGAGAGCAATAAGGTCTTCTCCAGGCTAAACAACCCCAGTTCCCTCAGCTGCTCTTCATAGGAATTGTTCTCTAATATCCTTTAATAACTTTATTTGCAAATATTATGAAGTACTGTGTCTTGTTGAATACCTTACCTGCTGAATGAACAACTAACTTGTGAAACTGCGTAACTATCAGTTTATTAGTCAAATATACTTACAAGAAGTTCTTTCTATTGATAGGTGTCCTCCATGGGAATAACACCTTTCTTTGTAGAAAATGTCAGTGAACTACAGTTATGTGCTATCAAATTAGTGACTGCAGTAAGTAGTTTTTAATTTGTGGTTTTATGTTCCTGTATTTCTGAGAGTTATTAGGGCATTTACATAGACTGTATTTTCTCTCTGGTAGAGAATTGGAATTTAGAACTAATTTTATTCTTACATATTTTTACAGTTTGGTATCATAATCTGGAAGCAGTATTAAATCTACCTGAGCTGCCCCTATTTCCTGAGTACTCTGTAGGAAGAAATATCCTACTTAAGCAAGGAACTTCTTAATTTTGGTTTCGCCATTTGAAGTGTAAACACAAACTCCTTCCTTTTACCTGTTCTTTCTTGTCTTCAGAAATCTTAACATTGTGGTTTTCCTTATTTCTTATTTAATAGAATTTCCATGTAATAGAATAAATTTCTCTGAAGAGGTGGCTATGTGAAAAATTCATGGGGCAGATAAAATATTATTTCAGGAAAAATGCAGTTCAGCACAGATGTGCTTGTTCAAGTGGGAATTTTCCACCTTTGTAAGGATGATATACTCCAGTATTCTGCCTAAGCAAAAAGAGAGGCAAACTGTACGATCATGACTCTGTAAATGGAAAGAATGTGTCATGTCAGGCAAACATTAAAGCTTAGGATATGAAGTAAAACTGGTTTCTCAAATGTGCTCTACAACCATACCAGTGTTCGTTTAATTTATATTCCCACAGAGTTTTGCTGTGTATTGGAGTCTGAAAGCTTAGTATTACACTGTTTGACTTTCCTATACAGTGTATTCTACCATTGACAGAAATTTTTAAAACTTAAAGTATTTTTAAGAGCTATTACACGTTTATATTATTTGAATATTTAAATAAAAATTTGAAGAAGTTTTTTATGTATTTTATAAAGAACTGCTTGCTTTGAAGAAACCAAGTAATGCATTAAAAACAGAGTATGCATTAATTATAATTTAAAAATCATATAAAGTGTATGTTTCTATATATAATTTTTAACAATGTAATTAAAAAGCAATATTTTTGTAACAATAAATAATTTTCTAACAATCCTGTAACTGTTAAATAGGTGTTCTCCAGGTATGAAAAACATAGACAATTAATACTAGAGGAAATTTTCACTTCCCTTGCGAGACTACCAACTAGCAAGAGGAGTTTGAGAAACTTCAGGTAATTTCTGACATAGATTAATAACTTGTAGACAGTAGCATTTACAGTTTTGTAGATGTAGGATTTTAGGCTTCAGTACTAACTACTTCTTTAAGAATCTGCAACTGCACAAGCTGTGCTTTATTAGAGGTTGATATTCAAAACAAGGAGAGCAGCATTGCCTGACAAATGTCTTGTAATAATCCTTGTTTCTTATGCCATCATATTTGTGCCTGCTTGCAAAAACAATTGAAATATCTTATTATTTGTCTCACTGAGGATGTAAATGAGTGTAATGTTACTGTGCATTCTGAGTTTTTTTGTTGGAAAATTCTTTGGTTCTATTTGTATGGAATTACATGATTTCTTCACCCCTAAAGCTTAATAGGAAAATTTGGGCTGAATTTCTTTAAAGGCATGCTCAGAGCACTCTAAAAAACCAGGAAGGAAATCAATATAATGTCCCTTTGAATGAGTTTCATTTGGGAGCTACTCTTGTTTATATTAACTGCCTTTTAAGCACTTCAGGTGGTTTTCAGTGTATCTTCAGAATAATAGTATAGGTTCGAGTTCAATCAAAACTGAGGTTGGGATACTTTAAATGATTCTAAAGATTTGTTGTTGGCGTTGATTTTGTTCCTTGCTTGCATACATCTTACTTCCAGGGACAGACAAATTGTCAGTTAAATATTTTGTCCAATCCCAGATGGATGAACAGGAAATACCCAGGAAAAGAAATACACTGAAACTTTGAAGTTAAATTGAGCAACCCTAATGTTAGCATAAGCGCTTGTTCCTAGTATTTCATATTGTTTCAGTTATAGACATCCGAGAGATCTAGCAAGTAGGAAGGTGGTAGGAATAGGAGGATAAATGGTAGATAGGCTCTTTGAAGTAGGACCAGTACCAGCAGGAAGTCACTGTCTCAAGGCCACAGGGACTCCGCTGTCTACATGTAGAGTCCTAACTCTGGGCTGTTAAAGGGCATCTCTAACTGTGGCTACAGTCATGAACCTGTATACAAAATTTGATATGACAAGTTTTTCTCCTCTAAAAGTAATCAAAGATAACTTCATAAAGATGATAATTGCAATCTGTTTTGTGCCCAGTTAGTGTTTTTGTAATTTGAGGAGAGTGATGTCAGGGATTATCAACTTTTCATACCATTAAGGGTAGCAATAGGTAGTGTTAATATACGTATGGGTAGTAAACACCAAACTAACTCTCAGGGTATATCATGGGCATGGGAGAAACGTGGAGTGTACTGGTCTTACTGACTTAAGTACACACTTAAAACACACTTGAAGACACTTGCATGCTGAAATTCATAGTTTGTTATGCTACGGCAGATTATCATAGGTGTAACTCTTGTAGAAGTCTGTCCAGGTCATGGTCACTATTTTCTGTTGTTTAAAAGTCCAGCACATTTCACATACATGAAATAATATATAAGTAATAAATTATTAGGGCAACAGTTTGGTGTATGTTTTTCGTGTTGTTTTGGAAATGGATATGGCATTATATATAATGAGCCTATTAGTAAGTACCTTAGCATGTAGGCATTTGGTTTATTAAATATTCCTGTAGATTTTTTGGCTGCTGAAATTTACAGATACTCTGATAGCCCATCTGTGGGTTGTTTCAGTTCATCTCTTCCGCCTGAGAATAATACTTACTGGTTTTGTCAGACCAAATCTTACACTGCATAAGAGAGAAGCAAATGACTAGATAAATGTTTAGAACACAGATTTCTAGCTGCGGTAGTAATTCTAGAAAGATATCATTTAGGCCAAAAAAAATTTGCTTTGTTTTGTCTTTTTTGTTTAGTTTTAGTGTTAATGCTGTGCTTATTAACAGGTTAAACAGCAGTGACACTGATGGAGAGCCTATGTATATTCAGATGGTTACAGCACTAGTTCTGCAGCTTATTCAGTGTGTGGTGCACTTACCATCAGCAGAAAAAGATTCTAATTCAGAGGAAGAATCAAACAAGAAAGTAAGATATTTTTTTAAACCTGTAATTTTTTTTTTGTGCAGGAATGACTTTGTGTGTTTGTAGGTAGAATATTTTATTATGGTGCTCTAGTAATCAAACATTGTAATATTATGTCTGCTGTAATTATTTGAGGCCTGAGAAATGCTGATCGGGAAATCATATTTCTGTGTATGCTAAAATAGTAGCCAAATGTATGTTGTTATTTTAGGTGGATCAGGACGTGCTTATTACTAACTCATATGAAACAGCCATGAGAACAGCACAAAACTTCCTTTCTATTTTCCTTAAGAAGTAAGTACTGTTACATTCTTCAGCATGTTGCTGAAACCAACTCCAAATAAAGTCTGTCATACCTTAAGACAAACCTAACCACTCTGCAGTGCTAAATACCTGCTCATAAAGTTATTTGTAACAGTGTACTGTATAGACCCCTAAGAGAGCTACCTGTCTGGACAAAAATTTTTATTGAACAGAAATTCTGCAGAGACTTCTTTATGCATTTCAGAATCTGTTTGATAGTTCACGTAAGATGCTTTTATTAGGGGTCTGTTACTCATCTGAAGCCTGGAAGAGAAGGCTGAGTAAATATTTAAGTGGTGAAACTATATTCATTCAGTCATCGGAAGGACAAAGATAGAAAAACCCTAAAAATTACATTAATTTAACTAAAGTTAGGAATGTCAGTAACTCAATAGGCGGCAAAAAATGTCATATACCTGAATAACCGAAGGATTTCTGAGAAGTCCTTAGGTTTTTATCATGTTGATTTCTACTCTTAAGCTATTTAAAGGCCATTTAATAGCCATCTAGCAACCTCTCTGCATACTTACGGTATCAGTAAAGTTAGGGATGCCACATATATGTTATAATTTAATTTTTTTACATTCTGATTTTAACCTTCGTGGAGCATAATACTGAGATGTCTTATCACTGTCAGATAAATCAAACCAAGCTTAAGGAATATATACACAACACCTCCTAAAAACCCCACTCCAGCTTGAGCTTTACAATTTTACCTACTTCATCCATCCATGTTAATGCAGACTCAAAGCAATAAATTAAAAAAAATCTTAGGGACAAAATTCTACCATTATGGATTAGCTGCTTTATTTGCAGTGCAACTTGGAGTGATAACTATTTAAACTATTCCTCTGTAAACGAATAAAATGAATTTTCTGCTAATATTTCAGATTTTTTTTTAATTGCATGATACTGTTTTTCTGATTAAACATAGGATTACTTCTGTTTATATTAGAAGAAAATCTTAAAAGGCTCTTAAATTCACTTACGAAATGCATTTCTTTTGAACAGGTGTGGCAGTAAACAAGGGGAAGAAGATTACAGGCCACTGTTTGAGAACTTCATTCAAGATCTTCTTTCCACAGTCAATAAACCAGAATGGCCAGCAGCAGAGTTGCTACTTAGCTTATTAGGAAGACTATTGGTAAGGGATTCTTGTTTTTAACTATTACATTAATTTATTTCTTATTACAATGAAGACTTGTTTATTTCAGCTGAAACTACTACAGGAATACTTTCTGATTGTTGACACACATGCAGCATTTAAGGATTTTCTTATGTGCATCACTACTGCGTAATATATAAATAATAAAATTTGGGTTAGAGGATCGTTGATACAGAACTTGTTAAAGATCATATGTACACAGTTTCTCATGCAAGTCCACTTTTACTATTCCATGACATTTTCAACATGAAAAAATGCCATTGTATAGCATGTAATAAGCGTAGATATTCATTTGGAGTAAAGTCAGATTAGCAATTGTAATTATTCGTGTTAAATATCTTCTCTGGACTATTCCTTCAGCACAGAACCTGAAAACAAGTGGTTTGGTTTTTTACCAATAATAGCATTTACTTGTGATACTTTACAGAATGTGTATATTTTTGTTTATGTGGTTTTTGAGAATTGTTCTTCAGTATTACAATGTAATTAACACAGTAATTTGAACTGTTTCTTGGAAGAATATTTTATGGTCCTATTCCTAGTAAAATGTAGCTTTATACTTGCGTGAATGGTGAGGAAGTTGCATTATGTCGCTGAAGGTGTATTCTACTGCAAAGGATATCTGCTGTAATAGTTATCCAGTTTATTTTATGAAAATAAGTATTTTTAAAAACTCTAACAGGCATATTTGTAGACAAAGAGACCCAATAAAGGAAGAAGCATGAATGTAGAGTGAGTAATGTATCAATGATGTAATAGTAAATTACATAATTTTATGCAGCATGGAAGTTAGGTGGAATTTTTAATATAGGTCAACAAGCTCTTGTGAGAAGAATCTCAAGCTGCATAAATAAGTATTTGTTTTTAACAGTTTATTCTGTTTTTCCTAGGTTCACCAGTTCAGTAACAAATCTACAGAAATGGCATTAAGAGTTGCATCACTTGATTATCTTGGAACTGTAGCTGCAAGACTGAGGAAAGATGCAGTCACGAGCAAAATGGATCGAGGATCTATAGCCAGAATCCTCAAACAGGTGTGTGAGAGTTCCTGTGCCAGCTGGATTGAGCTGTAGCCATTCAAATACTTGAAAATTTTAAAGCTGTTTGAAAAACTGGTGTTGTGGAGAGTCAGTCTTCATTGTTCAGATTTCAGAATCAAATATACTCATGTTAAAAGAATCACATTCGTTATCTCATGTCTTCCTTGGACCATCTCTGTATTGGCCATATGAAGTGGTTAATCACAGTGGTGAAGCCAGTTTTCTTGTGACAATACAGAGGCAATAATGGAGCAATAATTGGATTAGATTTTAAGAGGCTTTAAAAATACATATGTATGTGCATTTGCTGTTGCAAGGTGGTAACTGAGCTTCTGGCACTCTATATATACAGACTTTATAGAGTTAAACTGTTAGTCCGCTAAGGTTAGTTTTTATGTGATGTAGCTGGTATTGGTTTGGTCATCTTTTTTTGGTGGTGTTTTTTTTTGAAGTGGACTTGCATATAACTTTTCATTAGTGCATATATTTGCATTTCTGCTAATGCTGCTCCAAATCCACAAGGGTGGCAGCAGTTATCAAAGCAATGTATGTGTTTGGGCTCTATACAGTACGTAATATGATGAGAAAATCTCAGATCTTATGTGTGCTTTGAAAAACATGGACTTGAACATTTCTTATGGACGCTATACATTTCTTTCTGAACTACTAACTGTTCTCATCATGATCTAAAGTTGAGTAGTCATATCAAGTTCATTTCCCTTTCAGTTACCTGAAAAGACTACAGATCTATTGTACTTTATGATTGTTACAGATTTATGTTGAAGGAGAAACTTCTGTACTTCACAGGTGTTGAGATAAAGAATCAAAATTCATCTACTATTTTATGAGGCTGATGCTTCCAATGACCTTTGTTGATATTCTGCAACATGCAGTGTCAAATCTTTGTGTCCGTGGCTTAATGTCATTTATACTTGTATGTGCTAAGGGGTTATAATTCTCCTCTGTTGGCAGTGATACCGACAATTCCACATTAGACTTCTTAGGGAAATACTTTAGAAGAATCCTTTTCTCTTTCTTTATCTCCAGAGATTATAGTAGTATTGAAAGATATTCTAAAAAGATAAAAACCTGAGCGACAACCTGAATTTTTCTATTTGTTTTGGGGTTTTTACAGGACCAGGCAGTAACTATGCATTGGCATCTGCAGAAAATAAAATTGCTGTGGGCAACTGAGTACTAAAAGCATTTTTTCAGTTACTCAGGAAACTTAGCATTGGTGGTGGTAGACATTACCATCCATGCATTATGGAGGGTGTGTAGTATACAATACCATCAGTCAGGACAGACAGTGTGTTGTTTCTAAATTATTTGTAACATCAGAACAAATAAGTACTTGGAAATGTGTACGTGACAGCTAAGCTTCACTTTGCTGTTCAGATGACAAGAAAATAGGAAGATCCATTAGTAGGCATACTCAGCTGTTGTCATCAGAAACTTACATTATTATTTCCATTCAGAAATGAACTTATGCCTCTACAGATTTTTCTTTCCTGTGGAATACTTAGACTCTGTTGGATATTTCCTTCTAGGCTCTGATATCATTACCACGATAGTCCCCAGTGATTGATAAATGCTTATAACTCTCTACTGTGGTTTGGACTCAGGACCCGTAGAATTAGATTTAGGAGAAAATCTATTCTGCTTTGACATTTTTAAACAGTAGATTTTTTTCATAGAAATCTGTCATAGATTGTCAAGTTAATTTGAACACTTATGCATAGTTTTCATCAATCTCTTGATACACTGATGTTCTGGACTTGTAACTGTACCTTCCTCCACTTGCTGATATTTGCAAGCTATATTATGTGATGTATTTGTGACAAGATTCTCAATCTGTGCTGTTCATAAAGAAATTAAGATGGTTATAAGTTACAATTTTTATTTATGAAGAAGAAAAATGTTTTGTAGCTGAAGAATTTTAAGCCAGAAATTATTCTTCTACTTTTATTATCAGTATTGAGTATGATGTCTTGTGGGCTGCACAGTTTCTCTTTGTTCATTCTAGGCTTTTTACGTGTTTGAAAATAGTTAGGCAGTTAAGGTTCATCAAGCAACCCTTTTATTCAGCCAGTTATCCACAGAATTTAACTTTTGTTGAAGGCCGGAATTTGCACATATGTTAGGGTGCCTAATGTATATATAAACCTATATCGGTATTATGTGCATTGTAGACATGTCTTGAACTCTTGAACTCATGCATTTGGAAAAAAAAAAAAAAAGTCATCTTATCTGCGGTAACATCAGCAACTGCACAGACCTGTGTATTTCAGTGCAATACTAAGGAAAAAAGGGTGGTTTATGGGTTAGGTTGTATGCTGTGTTGTAGATGTTGAGAAAGTTACTTTCTGACTCATGCACGAGTTCATCAGTACTGATTCATTCTCTATAACCTGTATAGGGAGAGAAGTACATTGTCTTGTGGTCATACACAAGATCGTTGTTCAATTTGCATAGGCTAGAAATATTTAAGAGATCAAGATATACATAGAATCATAAAATGGTTAGAGTTGGAAGGGAACTTTTAAAGGCGTCTAGTCCAACCCCTGTGCAATGAGCAGGGACATCTTCAAATCGATCAGGTTGCTCAGAGCCTCGTCAAACCTCAGCTTAAATGTGTCCAGGGATGGGGTATCAACCACTTCTCTGGGCAGCCTGTTCCACTGTTTCACCACCCTCATTGTGAAAAAATTTCTTCCCTGTATCTCGTTTGAATCTACCCTCCTTTAGTTTAAAACCATTACCCTGTGTCCTGTCACAACAGGCTCTATTAAAAAGCCTGTCCCCAGCTTTTCTAGAAGTCCCCTTCAAGTACAGGTCTCACAATCAGGTCTCCCTGGAGCCTTCTCTTCTCCAGGCTGAACAGCTCCAACTCTCTCAGCCTTTCCTCACACCAGAGGTGCTCCAGCCCCCTGATCATTTTTGTCACCCTCCTCTGGACCCACTCCAGCAGGTCCATGTCTGTCCTGTGCTGAGGGCTCCAGAGCTTGACTCCCGTTGAGGGCCCACCAGAGCGGAGCAGAGGAGCAGCATCCCCTCCCTCGACCTGCTGGCCACGCTGCTTGTGATGCAGCCCAGGATGCAGTTGGCCTTCTGGGCTGCAAGTGCACATTCGTGGCTTGTATTCAGCTTTTTGTCCACCAATACCTCCAAATCTTTCTCAGCAGGGCTGCTCTCAATCTCTTTGTCTCCCAGCCTTTACTGATAGCAGGGGTTGCCCCAGCCCAGGTGCAGGACCCTGCATTTGGCCTTGTTGAACCTCATAAGGTTTGCATAGGCCCACTTCTCGAGCTTGTCCAGGTCCCTCTGGATGGCATCCTGTCCTTTTGGCATGTCAGCCATGCCACTCAGCTTGGTGTCATTGGCAAACTTGCTGAGGGTGCACTCAATCTCACTGTGTGTGTCGTTGAAGAAGACGGCAAACAGTACTGGTCCCAGTATGGACCCCTGCATGACACCACTTGTTACCCATCTCCATCGGGACATTGAGCTATTGACCGCTACCCTCTGGATGTGGCTGGCCAACCAATTCCTCATCCACCGAACACTCCATGTGTCAAATCTGTATCTTGCCAATTTAGAGAGAAGGATGTTGTGAGGGACAGTGTCAAAGGTCTTACAGAAGTCCAGATAGATGACATCTGTTGCTTTTCCCTTGTTCACTGATGCAGTCACTCCATCATAGAGACCACAAGGTTGGTCAGGCTGGACTTTCCCTTGGTGAAGCCATGCTGGCTGTCTGAAATCACTTCCCTCTCCTCCATGTGTCTTATAAACATATAGGAAATATAAATATTTCCCATTAAATATGCTCTTGGAAAAATTACATTCTGTTTTTATCATTCATATAGTTTAGATACAACAAATCTGGTACATAGTCAACGAGCACTAATTTTCAGATGAATATTTCATACGTAATGCTTTTGGTGCATCTTAGAATTGCTTCACAGGAAAATTAATATTACCCTTTCCTGTAGATAGGCTTTATGCAGTAGGTGACATTTTTTGTAAAATGTGTGTTTGTTCTCAGGCTTTTTGACTGATAGAAACTTAACTGAATCTCAGAGATGATTTTTCAGTGCTGGAGCTCAGAGGTGTTTGGGAACAACCTCTGAAACTTCTTCACTAGTATGAGCACGCTTGCTGCACTTTCTCTGTATGGGTGCTTTAGCACTGAAAATATTTATACCAAATATTTTTACAAAAGGATGAGTTATTTTTATTCCTTTGATGTTTCCCGTACCTTTTTACTGTTACCTGTTCTGTATTTATTTTTGTTTTACTTTTTTAGCTTTTATCCCTTGTTCACCTGAGATGTCACTGTTCTGGTATTTAATATTGGTGAGACAGCTAATGATGACTTTTATAGGCCAAACCTTGTGTCAGTCTGCTGTGTGTGATTGCAACCCTGCTTTTTTCCTCCATGACAGAAGGTGTTCTCACAAGGTCATAGAACAAAAATTAATCAAATCAGTCAGTCTGTTTTAAAACCAGTCGTCTTCTGCTCTTAATCTTTTCTAAACTTTAGAACCACAGTGTAACTTCTTTCAGTCTCTATGCAGTTTGTGCATAATTATTTAAAAAGTTGTTAATGTTCTGCAATTATCAGAACAACTGACTTCAGTGTATTTTATAAGTGGACATGCAGATTTTCAGATGTTAATTAGCACTGTGCAATATTCTGTTTTATAACTATCTTTCTACTTCTGACAGGTTTCAGGAGGAGAGGATGAAATTCAACAGCTGCAAAAGGCTTTGCTAGATTATCTGGATGAGAACACAGAAACTGATGCATCATTAGTGGTAAATTTCAGCTTTCTGGTGTAAAAATAATTTCAGTGTTGTGTACTGAATAAAAATATTTTTGGTTATGCATATTAGTGCTTCAGTTAAATTGTCACCCTAACATATACTGTTCATTGTGTTTTCCAAAATATTGTTGATGCATTAGATTAACTTAATCTCATTATAGATCTGTTAATTTTCTGTTTCTGCATCTGTTGTTTTTGTTTTCTGTGCATCCTGCTGCATTTCCCCAGTTTTCTCGGAAGTTTTATATAGCTCAGTGGTTCCGTGATACAACTATGGAGACAGAGAAAGCAATTAAATCTCAGAAGGATGAGGATTCATCTGAAGGAACTCATCATGCAAAAGATGTTGAGACCACAGGACAAATTATGCATAGAGCAGAAAGTCGCAAGAAGTTTCTTCGCAGCATCATTAAAACTGCTCCATCTCAGTTCAGTACATTAAGGTACATTTCAGTGTCACTCATTTCTTTACTGGCCATGCATTTTATTTTCTAAATAATTATTTATAAACATGTCCTAATTAACACATGGAATTTGTTGCAGGATGAATTCCGATACTGTGGACTACGAAGATGCATGTTTGATTGTTCGCTACTTGGCCTCTATGAGGCCGTTTGCCCAGAGCTTCGATATTTATTTGACACAGGTAAACTGTGCCAGAAGTCTTAGTACAGTGAAACACACTTGGTTTCTGATTTCACATACTTTTGCGATAGTGTGTCATACCTGTTCATTGTTGATAACACCATGTGCTTTCATATTCTGTATTGATGATATAAGTGATTATGTTTCTATTTTCTTGCATGCGTTTTGTATGTCATATTATACATACATTATTTTATTTGTCTGTATATGTGTATGACAAATTCATTATAATTATATGTACACAGTAAGAGGATTATTACAAAATGTTCAAATAATTTTCACACTTTCTGTAAGATGCATGCTCCTTTGGTAATATAAACAGGAAACTGAACTTAATTTGATTTGAAAATACAAGCCAGCTTGGTCAGTTGCTTGCAGTGCTTGTTACTATCACTTTGGAAGCTACTGTTTGACCAGTGTTGTTTGCTTTTTCTGGGAGAAGAGCACTAACATGTTGGCATGGTGACATGTTTGAACTCCAGTACTAGTTTAGGTTGCGTTACTTATATTGATCTGCGTACAGAGCCATTCTTAAAATTATAGTGCCCAAATCCGGCTCTCCTGTTAAAAGAACTATGGTGAAAGTCACAACTGAATGACAAAGGTACAGTTTAAAACAAAGGGATTTAAAGTGAACATGCAGACCACGTGTAAATCCTGTGTGGATCCGTTGTAGAGATGTAGCAAATCCTAGTAAATATCCATACTCAGTGATCAGTGACATGGAACATGACTTGCCTGCACTTTTTTACTGTGTGAGAGGATATATTCAATTTTCACTAAACAGATACTCTTATTTTGGTTAAATTGTTTGCATGTCATTCTGCTGCATTTTTGCCTGTTAAACATTGTTTACTACTTTCCCAAAGCAATTGCATCTTTGTTTTTGTTCTCTTACTAGATTCTGCGTGTACTCGGTGAAAATGCAATTGCTGTTCGAACAAAAGCCATGAAGTGTTTGTCTGAGGTTGTGGCCGTAGACCCCAGTATTCTAGCCAGGGTAAAGAAGGATATACCCATCATACAAATACATTCTTTTGTCATGCTTAAAATAAATCTTCATTTCTTATTTTGAATCTGTGTTTCATTTGTTCTTTTCAGCTTGATATGCAACGAGGTGTTCATGGACGGTTAATGGATAACTCCACTAGTGTACGAGAAGCCGCTGTGGAGCTGCTTGGCCGATTTGTGCTCTGTCGTCCTCAGCTTGCTGAGCAGTATTATGACATGTTGATTGAAAGAATATTGGTACAGTGACTTGTGATATTTATGATAAAAGAAGTAGCATTGGAAAATTTGTTTCTAACTGAGCTTATATGTTTAATAATATGGATATATACTCCCAAGAGTAAATTATATCTTCTTGTTTTAATGGGGTGCATGATGCTTTTAAGCCCGATCTTGTAAAATGCATCACTTGTTTCTAATGAGACTTTGTTACACCAAAAAGTAAACATATATAGAAAGTTGTACTGCATCAGAACCAGGATTATATTCCTTTTGATTCCATTGTTAATGCACAGATTAGGTGAAATCAGGAATATTGCCAGGGGTCTTAAATCTGAGATGTGGGTCACTGAGGGCAGTTCAGTAGTGTGGGTGATGAAGAAAGAGCTACAACACAGTAATCTAAAGATGCCATTTGTAATCCAGAAGAAAAAAAAAGAGAAAACTAGTGTGCTTTTCTATGCTATTTCAGTGTCTTAAGAGGCTTCTTATTCGAGTTTTTGTACAAAAAGTGTTTTTTGTCAGGGTGGACAGGTAAAATATAGTGTTAGTTTAGCTGTAAGATAACACTAGCTCCATCCATGTCAGGTTTTTAGTCAAATACTACTCATTTGCTATAGTTACATGATAAAACATGTTTCTGAAGGGTTTTGAAGATAAGTAGCTTCACGTGCATATGAGCATGCATAAAGCAGTTCATACTGACATTCAGATTCAACAGGTTTTGAATAGGGTAATGTGAAGTGAAGCTCCTCGTCCGTCTCCTTAGACCAAGTGTTGGAAAATCTAAAAGAATGCTGCTTGTATCTTATCCATAAGCTTTATCCAAAGGCTTGAAATGTTACAGTCCAGATCTAGCAGGAATCGCCTGTTCCAACAGAGTAACTAAAACATCATCCCATCTAGCTTGTGAGCTGTTGAATTAAGAAGTGGAATTACACATTTGCAGCATCATGAGCTCTTAGATGGGAGGGTAGAAATGGCGGAAGCATTTCAGCATTCTGGGGACTCAGCCAGAACCTTTAGAATTGTTGCAAATAAAGTGATACAAGTTATGCTGACCTTTTGTATAAATGCACTCCAGAATATTTTAGCTGCCTTTTCTAAATAAATTTTGCAAGTCAGATTGGTTGGTCTTCCAATATTAATTCATATAATACATAAATTAATTCATTTTTTTATTTGTTTTCAAGAGTATAATGAATTTCTCTTCACAGGATACTGGCATCAGTGTCAGAAAAAGAGTCATAAAGATACTTAGGGATATCTGCATTGAACAACCGACATTTCCCAAAATTACAGAGATGTGTGTGAAAATGATTCGGAGAGTCAATGATGAAGAAGGCATTAAGGTAAAATGAAACATACGCTTCAGGATCTTAATTATCGTTATTTTAGTGTTTCTGTAATTTGACCAAAAAAAATAAATTGCATTGTTCCTTTGTAATATTTATGACTTTTATTCACTTTTAATTTTTGAGAGCAAATACCTTAGCTTTCTAAAATGCTCTCTGATTTGTTTTTCTTTCTTTTATATCCTGTTTTCTGGAAGTTCTTGCTGACAATCAAAAGATTTTAAAAAGTTATTTTCTAGAGTTTCTTTTTCTTCTTGCAAATGTTACCTCTGGTACTTCTCTTTTCTAACAAGTAAAATTGGCATAGAATACTTCTTTCTGCAAACAGAATAACCTTTAAGTCATAATCAAATACTTGACATTAATATGTGCCAGATTTTTAAGTTCTGCATATGAAAACTATAAAGTATTCGTCTGTGTTAATTTTGCACTAATTCTGAAAGTTCAGTGAATCAGTTATTCCCCCAAAAATGTTACGTATGTGATCATACTCTACTCTTTGTGCAATGTATATGCAGAAGGGCAAAACTAAGATTATGTGTTAAATCATAAACCTGACAATGATGGCTCTGTTTGATTTGGCAAAATCGTTTTGAGATTGTTGGATAATTAACACACCAGTAATAATTTTGTATCACATTTTCAGTAGGATATGAAATCTGCAGCTTTAACGCTGCAGCATATATTTTTACCATTTCACTTACGTTAATGCCACGTGGCTTTCAGAGAAAACTGTTAATCAAAAAATAGACGAACAGCTGCATCCGAGGTGCTGCTGGGAAAGGAGGATGACGTTGTTTGCTCTCCCCCTTCCCCTCACCTTTCTAACAACATCAGAAAAAATGAGGCATTATTTTCAATGTATTTTTTATGTTTCCATGACTGAGGAGAGCTTCTTACAACCATATGCCTTATGAGTAATTGGGGAATCATTTTATTCATTTTCATTCTATTCTATTTATTCCTCCATCCAAAAACATTGGAAGAAAACATGCTGTGTATGTTTGGGTAGAGAGACTTGGCTTCTCTCTCTTTCCCAGCTTGTCACAGCTGTTTTGAAAACTCCAAAATAACCTACCATTGCTGCTAGTTCTGCTGTAGAAATCATAATCTTGTGTTCAGCTCTCAGCTTCTCATGGTACCTTGTGTGGTACTGAGGAATGCAGATTAATGCAGGAAGGTGGTAACTCCCATCTCCTGTAGCATCAGTTCCCAGTGATCATTTTACTGAAGCTTGCTTAGAGGTCAGTATAACTCCTGTAATATTAGATCTGGGTCTGTCTTGGATAACATTTCCTACAACAGTCTCAGTTAGGTTGAATAATTCCTTATGGAGTGGCACATATCATCAGCAAATCTATTGTATGGATGTATTAGAAATAATACCTGTGTACCAACATAAATTTATTTATTTCTCCTCCTGTATTTTTTTCCTTCAGAAATTAGTAAATGAGACATTCCAGAAGCTCTGGTTTACTCCAACTCCACACCATGACAAGGAAGCAATGACAAGGAAAATACTAAACATCACTGATGTGGTATGTTAAATGGTTTTTAGTTAAGCTGTGTGCAAAATTTGATTATGTTTTTAGTATCTTGAAAATATTGTCTGTAATTTTTTAGTATACAGTAATTTAATTGTCAGACAGTTTTCTTTTTGTATCTCCTGGCATTGAATATATGCCAAAATTACTCATTTAGTGGAACAGGCTATAGAAAACTTCAAATGCTCACAAATCTGCTGGCAGTGATAACTGAGACCACAGTATATTCACATTGTATAAACTACTTGTTCAGTTAAAACACAACAAATTTCTATTATATTTAACATTATGCAGGAATTGCTAGCAGCAGCATATAGTTAAGCCTAACTAAGGAGTTGTCTCTTAAAAGAAAATTTTCCTCCAAAAATTGATAACATTTATTTTGAAAGGTTAATAAGCCATTTTAACAAATGCAGGGTCATGTTCTCACTCAGGGCAAACTAGTGTCTGCATAATTCTATCTACTTTTTAGGAGCAGCAAACTAAATAGCTTGGCTCCAAAATAACAAAATCTGTTTCAAATAAAATACTTTAATTTGTAGTGAAAATGTATTGTGAAAAACCACTGTGCTGAGAAGGTGTTTTAATATCAGTTATACCAAGATGTAAATATCAAATAAAAGTACTCTCTTCATTACTTATAATTGTGGGCTTTAAGCTTCATCCTGCTTTTCAATATTTTTACAAAATGATAGTGTAGTGTGCATTTTTCCAGACTGAGAAGTCAGTCTATTTGACTTCAGCTTAACTCTCAGTTGTGCCAGTTCTACTCTGGAGCACCTGTGAGCTGTTCCTGACATATGATACCAGTGAAGATACATATATATATAAATATGTATATACGCACGCATGTTCATTTCTAATATGTCAGGCTTATATTTGTGCTTTAGTCTGTGCAAAATGTTCTATAAAACCAAAATCTGGTTTTTACATTAGAACCAGCAATCTCCAGTACAATGTTTAGGCTTTGTGTTGTATGGTTACAAATTCTGGAGTCACTTAAATGGTGAGAACTGTTTTTCGATGCAGAAGACAGTTTCTGATCTCCATAGATACAAAATTGTTGTATTGAATGCATATGAAAAGATATCTATGCATGTTTACTGGTCTTTTAAGATGACATCCGTGTGAAGTGATTTTTCCTCAGATGCCTTTTTTATTAACCAGTTTATTCTCAAAATTACTTCTAGGTTGCAGCTTGTAGAGATACAGGGTATGATTGGTTTGAACAGCTTCTTCAAAATGTAAGCAATGAATTTTGAATATATGGTACAATCATTGTTATAATTTTAACCTTTCTTTTGGTACTAAAACACATAGAAGGGGGACTACAAGAGCAATGCTTTACAGTAGATAAATTCAGTTCATGCCCTTTAAACATCTGGCCGTTTTCTTTATCTTCATTGGTGCAATTTTCTTGTCTCTGAAATTAGTTTCTGTCATTCCATATGATATGTTTTAAAAATACTTCACTTCTCAGTTTTGTTTGTTTGGTTTTGATTTCATAGTCTCCTCAGTAATGAGTGACATAACATGAAGTCCACAGCTAAGATATTTAATTCTGAAATGAGGCATCTAGTGTAATATAGACCTTTTTTTTTAATGGTAGTTAAGTGTATTTTCACATCCAATGTATTTATTACACTGTTTATAGAAGCATTGTATCTTCAGAGTATAGGTTACTCCTACATTATATTTAACTCTGATTGTTCTAAGAATTGACCTTGCTTTGTTCACATCTCTTAACCTGTGTTATCATTCTCGTCTGTGTCTTATATGCACTGGTTATTTGTCAAGCAAAAAAACTCTTTTTATTTTACTTTAGCCTGGAGTGCCATGAAAATAGCTAGGCAGGTAAACCAGAGCCTTTTAATGCCTGCACTGAGGAAAAAGCTATAGTCTGGTCTCAATCCTTCTTCGATATTGAAGGATCTTCGTGGACACAATTTCAGTACCTGAAGTCATGTGGAAGAAGGCTAATTGATTAAAATGTTCATAAAACTATGTTTCATCTCTGTTTGATATTTTTGCTTAGTGTCAAAAACAACGTTCCTTTTGAATTTGCTCTTTTTTTTCCTAAGTGTTTTAAAAACCTTATAACTCCTGCTAGTTACTGCTGGCAAGTATGACTACGTTATTGTTTTCTGCATTATTTCATTAAGCACAAAGTTAGCTTTCATCCCAGTGCAAAAATCAGTAGAACTTTTCTGGGTTTTTATTGCCGTTAGTTTTTCTTTACTTCTCTTGCATTTTGGTTTGATTTTTTACTTCCCTTAATTTTTTCTTCACTATGTGACTTATGGAGAAGTTAAATAAATTATTTTGTAGTGTAAAGTCCTTGTGTATCTGTACTGACGGTTATAAAACCAGCATGTATCCCATGTAAATGAATGCACCCTTAATAATAAATCATTTTCTGTTTCGTCTGCTACAGCTGTTGAAGTCAGAAGAGGATGCCTCATATAAACCTGTGAAGAAAGCATGTACTCAGCTTGTTGACAATTTGGTTGAGCACATTCTTAAATATGAGGAATCTTTATCAGGTAATATTATTAAAAACCCAGTAGCTAAATACTTTTGAATTTTATATGATACTGGAACAGTGGTTGTTCAGATTACTGTCGTGAAAAGTTACTGTTACAGAATTCCTGTTACAAAACTGATGGTAATGAATTACTGCTTTTAAGTTCATTATGAACTTTAGAGCACTGTATAATAATAATAAAGCTTCCCTAATTTTCACTAGCTGACCACATAACAGAACTACTTTTGAAATAATTTGTTCAAACTTTTCGACCACTAAAACCAAAAGAAGTGTGGCAAATTTTAGTTAGTATGTTGTACAGTTGTAAGAGGAATCATTGACTGGGCCAGTGTTCTGTGTACAGTAAGTACTTTATAAACTAGTGATGTCTTTGAAGCATCTTTGCTTCTTTTTTTACATGTTTTGTGATCACATACAAATCTTAACACATTATGTTGCCATCTTTAATAAGAATATTTTGTGTTGATCTAAAAAGAGGTGTAGTGAAAGAGATATTCAAATGATGTGCAAGTCTTGTGTTTTTCATTACTCAGACGTTACTTGCACTTCATATCTTGTTTGTATTTTCTAATCTTTTGCAGATTCTGACAACAAAGGTGTTAATTCTGGTCGCTTGGTTGCTTGCATAACCACTTTGTTCTTATTCAGCAAAATCAGGCCCCAGCTAATGGTCAAACATGCCATGACCATGCAGCCATACCTGACCACTAAATGTAGTGTAAGTAGAGAATAACAGTCTTTATTTTTCCCCAGATAATTAAGCATGGAAATGAATGACTGTCTTGTCTACTTGATGAAATTGAAGATAGGAGAAGAAAAATTTAAAATGTGGTTTTATTTCATGAGTATCATAGCTTCTGAAGATACTAGGTCCTTTTAACGATCTCTGTAGCTTCTAAGCTGCTGTTCCTTACCCTCTACCTGCACGTTTTTCAGCCAAATGAAACTGAAACCTGTTATGAAATAATTTCTTTAAAATTGTTTTGTTTCATAGTCACAGACTTAAAAGCAGTTAATATTTAACATATGAATCTTAAGACTAAAGGTACTGTTCCGTAAGATAGAGTGATCTAATATATAAGAAATATACTGGAAGAAAAGTGTCCTGCTCCATCTTCTTCCATACTTCACCTCTCACTTCCCTAGCTGTACTGTTTTGTATCAGTTTAGCTCACAAAAATGGTAGAGAGCTATAATGCTGAACCCACCCACCCCCATCCCCCTCAGCCTGCTAAAATGGCCCCCCTCCTCTGAAACATTGCCGTGCTTTCTGACATTTTGATCAGCACAGTTGGCTCAGTGAACATTATGATGAACGCCTGATCTGACAGAAGGAGCAGGGCAGGATCATGCAGCCGTGGCTCAAGGAGGAGTATGGGTGGGTGGCAGCAATCCATTACATTAGGTCAGCTGACCAGGGTACACTTGGAAGTAATTATTATCAGCTTAGACTGTAGGTATAGCCAAGCATTTTCCGAGTTCAGCCCTGGATAGATCTCTAGGCACATTTACAACAGACTTTTAGAGCTGCATTTGATCAAAAAGTGTAGGAAAGGATTATCTGATTGTTTACTTGCTGCAACCCATTTAGTGGGTTACATCGATTTTGTGCTTAGACGGGTTGAGAGAATTGTAGAATTACCACTGACAGCTTGACTATGTTAAATAGCTTGATGGTAGCCTTTGGGAATTATCCTGTCCTGTTTAGTGAGCTTGATTTGTTAAAAATAGTCAATTTCTAGCAGAATGTTTCTTTAATAGATAAATATTTTCCATAGATTCCTCACTTGCAATACATATACAGTCATGATAATGCAAAACAGTAATAATTTTAATTTCTACATTTGTGCTCATTATTACCCATTTTGTTTTAAGGCACATTGAGTCATAGCACAACTTCGTTTTGTTGCTGACACCTGTTTCTAGGTGCCGTGTGTTCTCTAGCATGCACGTGTCAGGAAGAGTTCCTAGATTATTGTAGGACTCAGAAAAAATTATCAGGACCCAAAGCTTGCAGGTCTGTCAAAGCTTTGATGAGAGGTGAAGTTCTGGTCGTACAGACTATTTTTTCCAGAAGTTCTGTAGAAAACAGAACTAGCTTTCATAATAATAAGTAATTTAACAGCAGATCTTAACTATATAAATATTCTTTTAGATCTTTACCAAATATCTTACATAAGTTGGGATTTTTGACTATCAGTGCATATTAATATTTAGCTTATGGATAACACGGCCAGAAACGTTAAACACTGTTGTTTAACGTTGTTTCAGACCCAGAATGATTTCATGGTGATCTGCAATGTTGCAAAAATCTTAGAGCTTGTAGTGCCGCTAATGGAGCACCCAAGTGAGACCTTTCTTGCCACTATCGAGGAAGACCTCATGAAACTCATCATCAAGTATGGCATGACGGTGAGCTTTTAATTGTTGCTATTCAGTTGATTCCATTTCACATTATAAAATACATGGTTGTGATTTAAAGAAAGTCTGTCTTCACTGTGAAGATAACTTTTGAGCCATGAAAAATCAGTGTACTTGGTTTACTGGAGTTTGTATGTGTTGTCGCTGTATTTCAATGAGTTTGAGCAGGTTTTCAGAGCAGTCTAGGAAATGGATGTTACATCCACTAGCTCATTAGTTTTGTTTCAGCATAGCTTTTTCCTACATAACTTCACAAAAATCTCAGTTTTAACTTCTAAATATATAATTCATTTGTTCTTTCTTGCTCCTAGGTTGTTCAGCATTGTGTGAGCTGTCTTGGGGCTGTTGTGAACAAGGTCACCCAGAACTATAAATTTGTATGGGCCTGTTTTAATAGATACTATGGTAAGTAAAAGCACAAAGGTACTTGTCACTTTTCAGTTTTGTCTACAAGTCTTCTCTCAGGAATACACCACCGTTAAACAATGTGATTAAAACTTTTATCTTACTGTAGGTGCACTTTCAAAATTAAAAAGTCAACACCAAGAAGACCCCAACAGTACAATAGTTACTGCCAATAAACCAGCACTCCTTAGATCACTTTTCACTGTTGGAGCACTATGTCGGCATTTTGATTTTGATCAGGAAGATTTTAAGGGCAACAGTAAGGTAAAATAACGTGTATTTACTCTCCATGTCTTAGCTATATTGATTGCTCCACTTCAATTTAAAAGCATGTTATTCCTAGTCCCTCAAAGCTATGTGTTTTCTCATAATGCATACAGTATAGCTTTTTGGTTTTTAAATACGTGGTTTTGCAAAGGCCATGCAGTAATATTGTGTTTCTCCTTTTCTTTTTAATATTTATGCATTTTATAAGAGATTAAAAACATCTGTTTCGTCTTCAAATAACTATTATTTTTGTTTTAATTTGCTCAGGTTAACATTAAGGATAAAGTACTTGAACTGCTAATGTATTTTACAAAGCATTCAGATGAAGAAGTACAGACAAAAGCCATTATTGGCCTTGGTAAGCAATATTAATATTTTTTATTACTCTGCGTATCAGTAGGAATTCATGTATTTGTGTAGTGACAAAGGAGTTTATTTTAAATCACAATTTACTGTGTGTTTTATTAGACAACTGGCTATAGAGAAGTTGTAAAAGGGTGGCTAGTTGCATACTTCTGCAGCATAGTGGATGCTTTTGACAGAGAATGTCCTTTGATGTGTGACCAGGTCTTAAAGTGCAGCGAAATTCCAAAGTAATGGAGATAGATGTTATTTTTTCTCCACATGCAAGTATGTTGTAACTCCAAATCTTGTTTTTCTGTCCACAAAGGTATCATTAAAGAACAAGCAGAAAAAGTGCTGGAAAATCTTTGAACAGTTTCACTGTAAGAGCCGGTATTCTGCAGTAGTCAAGGGAACTCTGGCTATTTATACGAACTGAGGGGTGCTCTGTGAGATTTTGTGAGGCATTGAGATGATGTCATAGACTAAATATTACCATTTGTTTAAGAATTTTGTCTGTATTTCACTTGTAAATAGATTCTTTATCTGAAGACGTTACTGTGGTATTTCAGTGACTTGCAGTAGTACATGAACTGCCATTGAGTGGCTTGTATCATCTTCATTCTCTGCTGAAGGACAAAAACTGTACGTGTGAGAGAATATTGTTAGGGCACATAGGCCTTAGTTTATGGAAGAGTTCAGTTTATGTTTATGACTCAGTCCAAAGAAAGTTATCTCCCAGGCATGTGAGCTTGCATTGTATAGTTTAACTGTGCACAAAAATTTGCCTCTCTGTGTTGGTGTTCAAGTAGCTTTTTAGATATCCTGCTTCAGTTCAGGCTAGGGAGGGCTCCAAGGAAGAGGACCAAGACTGAATCTGGATTTCGTGTTTTATGAGAAACCATTTCAGACAGCTGAGCGGGATTAGTGGCTTTAGTTGCCTCTGTTGCAGCAGCAGTGCTGCAGTTTTCTGGACTAGTTGGAGTTTATCTAAGCATTACATCAAGGTGCGCAACACTTAATGTAGTCCAGTCCAATTTAATTGTCCTCTACAGAATATTGCACATGGGATAGTGGCTGTCTTCCTAACCATAGACATGATTGCTTTGGATATGGATGTGGAGAATGTTGTATTCGCCAGAAGTGTTTCTGAATTATAGACTGAACTCTCTGATCAGGTTGGAGAAAGGGGGAAAATGGGGGTAGCTGTCGGTAGGCATTTTTCAGATTTTTTTTCTCTGCTGGTAAGCATATCAGTCTTTTATTTTAATTAAACCTTGGACAACTGGTTTCAGTGGTCTGTTGATCTCATCTAAGTACTAGTTCCATTTTGAGGGTAGCTGTTGGATGTGTGGAGATGTGGTAGACAATGCAGAGTTCCACCTTACAAGCTGGTAATTGAGCAAAGTTGTCAAAGCCATTCAACGTTTGTGTACAGGAATAAGGTACAAAGGACTAGCAAGCTAATTCAACATTTATACACAGCAAAGGCATTATGTCAAGAGTGCGTACTTTCCTATTGGCAATTATTAGTGTGTCATTTCAACAGTTTTAGCTTTGCTTTGAGATGTGTCACTGCTGTTCATGCATTAAGCTTAACCATAAGTTAAAACACAGAATCACGGAATGGTAGGGGTTGGAAGGGACCTCTGTGGGTCATCTAGTCCAAGCCTCCTGCCGAAGCAGGGTTACCTACAGCAGGCTGTAGAGGACCTTGTCCAGGCGGGTCTTGAATATCTCCAGAGAAGGAGACTCCACAGCCTCCCTGGGCAACCTGTTCCAGTGCTCCATCACCCTCAGAGGGAAGAAATTCTTCCTCGTGTTCA